TTACAACCTAAATATATTATGTAAATAGATGGTCTCAAAGCTTCTTAAAGGATGGTTGATTTATCTTATTGACAACAAATTCCACGAAAAGAACGAAACCATCAATGAATTGATCCGACTAACAAGTCAAAGTCTCATATAGTTTATTCCACTGTGCCAGGGGCCTCTAGTGTAAAAACTATTAAAAACACATCAGTGAGATGCACTGGGTGATTTGTTCCTTCTGTATGATGAACATGGACACTGTAGTTTAGTTTTTAAGTAAATACCACACTCATCATACTGGTTGCTGCAAACACTAACTAGAGAACCAAATGTGTATTAATCTATGGCAGAAAATATTCCCCAACAGCTCTATTTACTCCTGTTTACAATATTTAGCCAAAAACAATAGTGATAATAGATTTTTTGAGGAAATTACTGAGCTTTTTCAAACAATAATATATATATATTTAATTCCTATTTTCTATAGGAAGGAATAGTGTTGGGACTGAAAGCCACAGATCAGTCAGAGTTCAAAAGTATTCAGAGACAGACTAATGCATTGTTGGTTCAATGGATTTGTTGAAAATAAGAGAAATACAAAATCATCAGCATTATCAATGGAGCTATGGCCAACCAGTTAGCTTCATTTTTACCACAAATGTAAAAGCCTTTTCTTTGCTTTTTGCAAAAGATAAACAAAACTATGTTATTCCAGGGAGATGGGTGATTCCCTGGCCTTTATCTTTTCCCCCTCTCTACGTCTTCTTCCCAATCCAAGATATGTTTTTATCTTGCTGAGAAAGTAATCCTATAAAACTCGAAACAAGACTAGAATACAAGCAACCGAATCCACTTGTCAGTGCTCCGAGTGGTTAAGAGCCATCAGACACTCAGGACAGGCAGAGACAGAGAAAGAGACAGACAATCTGCAGTAGCCTGAGGACAGGAATCAGGCTCGTGGTGCGGGCGCTTCAGGGTTTACACGGCTCCGGTCCTGGGACTTACACGAGCTGCTGCAGACGGCTAGGCAGTACTCCTCAGAGTCAAAGTTATTCCTGTTGCCCCCACAGCCCCCAAACAAGAAGGGAACACAGCGGCCCTTCTCAGGCATGAAGTACCAACGCTCCAGCATGGCGTGACACGGGCCTGACTCGGCTCGAGCCCAACAAACAGCTGAGATATGTGCACACAGGCGAACGTAAATTAAATATCAAATAAAAATGGAACAATGCAAAATGTGAACTTCTGGATTTTATGGAAAACATAAAAGTGACACACACTAAAAAAACAACCAATAAATGAAAACAAACAAAGTGTGTGTGTATCCACTTCTTACCTCGAACGACTTCCTCAACTGATTCAGTGGTGGTGGTGGTGGTGGTTGTCATGGCGACGTTAGCACTGCGCTCATCGCTGTCACGTTCGTCAGTCACGTCGTCTTCGTCCTCCTCCTCATCTTCCTCTCCATCTCCGTTCTCGTCCCTTTCAAAAGTGTCCGCCTCTTCATCCTCGTCTTCGTCATCCTCCGTGGTGGCAGCCTCTGTGTCTGCCGGACGCGACATGCTGCAGGGAGAGCAGTCTGTTCAGTCCATGTATCGAGGTGTGTGTGTGTGTGTGTGTGTGTGTGTGTGTGTGTGTGTGTGTGGGTGAACTGGTGATGAGTGTGGTGAGTGATGATACCTGTTATCAGAGTATTCGGTCTCAGCTCCACCCCACCAGACGTCTGACTCCTCCCCTTCTAACTCTGCGCTGTCCAACTCTCGCTCAGCCTCCGTCGGACAGCAGACGAACTCCACCCCCCGGAAACGGTCAATACCACATGGCAACAGCATCCCGTAGTCATGGAGATTCATGGAGCGGTCTCCGCAGGACTAATTTTAATAACAGACATTAATCATTACTTCCTGCAGCACTTGAATGGCTTTTAACACTCATGTGTATACAAGCTTAGCTTATTGTGGTAAATCTTAAGTGGAAATGAGGAGCTCAGCTGCACGGATTGTTTTTTAAAACAGAATAAATTTAAAAAAATCAATGTTTGGCAGACGAGACTTTGTGGGTGACTGCACATTAATGAACAATCAGAAAGGCATGAGAACAAAAGGAACACAAATCAGAACCAAGTGGCAGAGGAGGCTGACGGCAGAGTTTGAGAGGATTAAATTAAAGAGTGCTGAGTCATTCAGCAGAACTACAGATAGAAAGAAAATGAGAAAAATAACAGAGGGAGCCTAACATACAATATGAAGGTTAACACAATGCAATGCACACGTAATGCTGTCTTATTGTCTGTCCTCACCTCTTTGGCTACAGTGTGCCAGTGCAGGTGGCTCTCACACTGGTCCATACGCTCCTGGTGCAGGAACTTACACTTGTCAGGAACCAGCAGGGCGTCGCTCACAAACTCACCAACTGCAACATAAAAATGCCTTCGCTTATTACAGGTAGTTAGTGTGTCCGTTCACACATGCAACCATACACACAAACATGCTCAGTAACATCCACCTGTATCATTAAAACTGCTTACCCAGGCAGCGATACGGCACCACAATGTGTGTGTGACTGCGGCATTGCTTGCGGCCTTTCTTGCACCAGTTCTGGATGCTGACGGGCTGGTTGGCCTCCACAACATTTGTGATCTGCAACTCTGGGTACACCTGGAGAAAAGGCAGAGATGTTTTGTGTTTACTTGCTCACTTGCTCTCTCTCTCTGTCCCTGTTTGTTGTCTCTTGCATGGCTTTCTCGCTCTGTTTAAATACCTCTTGGCAGTACTGCAGGATTCCCTCCTTGGTGCCGATGCAGCTCTTGGTGCCGGAGGGGTCAGACTCCCATTTGCCACTCTGCACATTGATGTGCATGTTGAGCTTCCCGCAGAACATGGCCACCTGGGGCTCCGTTAGCAAACCCACAGAGTCATCAGCAGGCACCTGGACAGACAAGGGAAAAGAGAGGACACAGATGAAGGCTGATCCTACCACACTGGCTAAAGTATAGCTTAACCATACATTTTTCCCGGTGCAGCTTATATCTATGTCTATGTCTATATCTATATATACACATATAGGCCCTTTCAGTTGACTCTACTTCCTTTCACATATAATCCTGCACAAACTTCTGTCTCTCAATGCATTATTATGATAAAGGAATCATAAGGATAAAGAGCTCTTTACTCTTCCACTGTTGCCGTTATTATATAAATAAATACATGACAATACTACTGCTTTAAGCCTAAGCAAGGCAAGATACTCAGTTTCATCCCTTTGAGCCCGTAAGCCAGAGAGCTAAGCATTACAGCCGCTGGCAGCGCATGTTCCTATTGTTAGCCTGGCTTATGAGGTTTTATTCATATCCTATATTAGAGAAAGTGCAGTGAACTGGTAGGAAAGATCATATAGCCTATTACAGCAAAGAGTAGAGAACGTATTAAACCACCAAAGTCCAAATGTGAGTGAATATAAGGTGCAAACAACCAATCTTTCATAAGAACTGGCTTTGGCCTTCAACTGTGTTCAACAGGACATAGCTTTTTCCACTTACTGTTTTTCTTTCCTTTGTGTTTGGGGAAACAATTGGAGGAAGTCTCAGTCTGTTTCACCTTCTTGGCCCTCTATTTTTCAGTAAAGACTGATGCTGCAAGTTCACAATACGCTAACCACCAAACCATCTGCTGCCAATCTTTAAATGACTATGTTTGCCTGTGAAGATCTGCCTATTATTAGCCTCCTGTGAGTCCGGATGAGCCAGCCCATTGTTCCTTTCTGTAGAAACAACTCTATTCTGCCCTAATCAGCCCATTTGATTATCGGGAACTTCCTTTTTTTTAATGTGAGCCCATTAATCATATGGCACTTTCTTCTCATTCTTGTCCATAGTTTGAACCGAAACAGTAAATTACAAAAGTATACACTGCAGCAGTAAACAGCAGGCGCACAAACCAACACCCAGTTGAACACAGGGATATAGGAATGTACAGAGTATAAAACAAAATAGTGTTAAGATATAGTATATGTGACGGTAGTCCTAGCACCTAACAACTTGTGCCTTAAATCACATCATGCTGAGTCCATGTGTAGTTATTGTCCCTATATTTCACTGGTTCATGTCCTTTAAGTCACATTCCTTTGGAAAACATTTAAGGAACAAGGCACAGTTATATTAAGCCATGTGGTATCAGTAAATTGCCCCTGTGCTTATTAGTGTAGGGTTACAGTGAGATAACCAGTCTGACCTGGTCTTACATCAAAGCTCCAAAACACTCGTGTGTGACTCTAGGGGAGTGTGGCAGCAGGCCATGATAGTGCACAAAGGTTATCACATCTAGGTACTGGAGCTGCAGGGCCTGTGGGACTCTTTCTGTCATGACTCAGCCTGCAGCCAGAAACACATGCAGCACAGAATATGCAGTACATTGCAATAAAATGGGTGGATTTAACTAGATTCAACCCTATGAAAATGGCTATTTTAAATGCTACCGAAATATTTCAGCAAAGACATAAACCATATGTCATAAGATATAGTGATAGCTCTGTCATTAAGTATTATAACAGGAATAGTATAGTGAACCTGCTAAGATTTCCTAGCCTAATAGTACAGAAAAGAATGATAATCAGGACAATCATAAGTATATATGATTATATTTGTTGAGGAAAGCTCTTGAACTGTGAATAGTGTCCTGTATAATTCCTCTGTAGAGACATTTCTCACTGCAGCATGCTGGAGTTTGGTTCGGGTGGTAAAGCAGCACAGTAGTAGGAGTTATTATACTGAGCCTTCAATCCCTAAACGCAGCACGGTAATGAGAAAACAGCCGTAAGTGATTTGCATATCACAACGTAGGCCCTACTCATCCCTTTCCCAGCTGGTCCTAAGCTGTGTACTTCTCTCTGGTCCTGCACAGCAACAGCAGCCAAGCTACAGGCGCCATCTTGCTTGTGTCAAACTAAAAAAAGGGCTGCATCCTTTTTCCATTCTCCTCAGCAATATCACCACCCTGCAGCTGCAACGCTGGACCAACTGGGCCAGGTCGACGCAGCAGCACCAAATAACACTAGTACATTAGCATTGCCAAAAAAAAAAAAAAAACCTGTTTAGTATGAATGTACTTATTTCACATTAAAGCTGAAGTGCTCTTGTTGTATTTGTCCGATACAGACGGGTCTGTTGGAAACCGTTAACATTTGGAACAGGGCAAACTGACGGAACGCGCGGTCGACGTTAGCCCGTAGCGGTTGCCATGCCAATCCGTGATCATTTTCTGGGAAAAGCTAGTTAACGTTAGCTTTCTACAACCTACTCATTGCAGTAGTTGTGAGACTTAACTTCAGCTAACTAGCAGTTACAAAAAAAAAAAAAAGACTGACTACTAGCAGAGTATTTAAAGGGCATTATATAACCCACAGCCAGAAACATCACCCCCGAGACAAACCAAAACATGTCCAACATGGCAGGGCCAAGCTGTCAATCACTGACATCTAACGGTAGGCCTTGGTAGCATTGCTGACATTATTTGCTTTGCTAATTCTACGCAGTAAATCTGTGTACGCGATAATTCTGGGATTTCGATGGACTCACACAGCAATGTGTTCAAAACGTTCAGGGAAAAAGCCGTTTTACTGGATCAAAGCGAGTGTGGGCCTCAGCCAAGCCCAGTAATCCTGTTATCTTTGGTAGCCGCTCGGTAACAGTAACTATAACTGTTACACAGCCTGCATGTCATCAGTGGAACGTTATAACGGTTACACGTATATTCTAACCGCTGTTATTACACGCCGTTGCTCAGATACGACGCGGTGGTTGGCGACTGCGGTCGGTTTGGTGTCCGCTGAAAGCAACCACAGGCCCGCAGACGAGCGGAGCCAGGGGGACGGCTCACCGACTCTCTCCCACCGCCTCAGGTTGGCTCCGTTGTACTCACCTCGGATGAAAGCGTCAAGGTCGCCACCAGTAACAGCAGAACCGCCGTGAGCTCTCCCATGCCGTCCTCCCGGTATCCAGCACCCCCGTTATGTTCACGATTTGTCCGTTAGAAGAAATGTTAAAGCGGGGCCGGTGTTGTTGTGTCGACACAGCGGCGGCTGAAGTGTTCCGATCCCGGTGATCCCTCCCTATTTAGCTCCCGACTGTGACGGTGTGAGGCTGGAGGGATGTGTTTGGTGTGGGTGGATGGATGGAGGCGGGGGAGTGTGGCGGTATGTGTGGATGTGTGTGTGTGTGCATGGCAAATAAAACCTACATTTTTGACATGTCGCCACCCATTCGCTTTGATAAGATGTGAACACACAGAACAGCCCAATAATAAAACATACCTATTCACTATACACTGGTGTGTAACCTGTGGTGTCGTGGTTATGGCAGATCTACCCAGTAGGGCTCAGATTGTCTCCGCTTGGAGGAGGAGTTCTTGAGACATCCTAGTTACTAATTTCCCTACACTAAATATTTTTATGACTGTATTCCGGAAGCGAAAGCCAACTGATTGCTCAAGCTGTAGGATTTTCTCTTCACTTCCAGACACTGACTGAAGGCGGACGTGAATGGATATGTGATATGCGTGCTGGGAGTTTACCCACCTATAGACTCAGTTGACTGATCTTTAAACTTAATTAAAGACACACAGTCCGGAGCAGGTTAGAATAAAAAAACTTTTAACTTTCAAATAGTTACCCTAGTTTATAACTCGGGACACATCGATTAGTTTTCGTCATCCAAGGAGCTCAACATGAAGACATTCCTGTGTGTGCTTATGGTCCTAACTGTCTCAGGTAAGCCTTTCAGACCCCCCACCGGTGGAGTAGAGCTGGTCTGGCGTTTGTATGTGAGAATATAGTATAGTTAGTGCTGATACACTGCAGGATAATGACACAAACGGTGCGTATACTCATCATTAAATGAGTCTACAAGGGACATTTGAGGATATTAATGCAGACCTGTGTTACCGGTAAAGTTACTCGATGTGAGTAATTGACAGTTTGCTTTTTCCATTCTTCCACATTGTCTGTCTGATTTGTTAAGCCCAGTGGAAACATTTCTGATTGGAAATTAAAAGAGGGCTACATGGAGAAATAGAGGATTTAATCGCAGTCACATGTATGAATATTTGCTTCAAAAAGCCCTCAAGTTAAGATATTTTAACTCAAAATTAATATTGTGGCACATTAGTAAAGCATTGCATAGAAATATCTAAAGGGGGCAAAATATAGTTTTATTTACAAATCTTTTTCCACATGTCTTTTGTCAATTAACACATTATTTTTAAACTTGATCTAGACTAATGTGTTCAGTTTGCCTGCAGGGCCAGGCATTTTCTGGGTGGATTGAAATGTTGATGGATATGTGACCACAGGTTCTGTAAAGCTGATTCCCAGGAACCTAAAACTGTTCAATTAGCACATTTAACAGCATTCCTTTTTCGTATAATCTTAAAAGGCAACCAGCTGTTGTTTCACATGTTTGCTACCTTGTCTGTGGTCACTTTTACCACAACTATGTGTGATCTGATCTGTTGAACACTTAGGGAGTGGACAACCTATCTGGTTAAATCTCACCAAACATTTGATACTAAATTAAAAACTACTCTGTGGCTGCTGAGTTCCGACTTATTAAATATTAATCTAAAACAAACCTTTAAGCTTCACTTATTAATGGAAGTTATTAACTTTACTTGAGCCATCAATAACTTTTTGCTGTATTAAAGTGTAGATGTAGTTGGCACTGACTTAATTCATGCTATGTCAACATAACTTTTCCTTTTGTCTGAAACCAGACTATTGCAGCCGGGCTTGAGCAATATTCAGGTCAAAGGTTTTACATTGTTTATATGATTTCTGTAAACAAAAACTAGTGAGAGTCTCTTACTCTTTCAAGGAGTGCCTGTGGAGTTGTGTTTGAACAACAGCACAATGAAAAGGATTAGGATTACCAAATTGACTGGGTATTATTTATTAGTTTATAATGTGACTCCACCACATGTACAAAAAGGGAAGAGGGACAAATTCACATCCAGTTAACATGCTCAAAACATAAAAGACTTTTGTGAAGTGAAAGCAGATATTTGTGTGTGTGGGTGGTGACAGCACCACAATTTAAAAATACCCTGTTGCAATTAAAAGTCCTGCAAATCTTGAAATTAGCAATTGAATATATATTTTCATTAGTCACCTGAAAATTAGAGGTTTTTTTTTATCAACAGCAGAGCGGGTCCTCTTATGTAGAAACCACCTTGTTTTCTACAGGAGCCCAGAACAGACAAATCAAAAAACTGGTTTCTAGATAAGATCTTTTGATTTTTTTGCAACCACCATAGTTTCACCTTCGCAGGGGTTTCAGTCGGTTGCAATCTACAGTCTCACCGCTAGACGCTACTAAATCCTACACATATGTCCTTCAAGTCGTCCCCGACTTATTGTAATTTGTATGATTTAGTGCTCAGGAAGAAGTTATCAGTCTCACAGCCCGAGGGAAGAAGCTGTCTTAGTCTTGTGATACGGCAGCCAGGCTGCGAACAACAGGTGAGCCAGGGGGAGCTCTAGTTGTGCCATACATTTCTATTTATCTGCATCCTCATCATCTTGGATCATGCATAATATACACCCTAATAAAGATATCAGTGTGTCGTTGTATCAAAAACTTCACTCACAGAAAAACAAACGGTCTTTGCTCCACTCAGACTGGGCGCCATTATTCATTGGTCTGTTTTGTAGTCAGCAGATAGACTCGCAGTCAGACCTTTCTGTGAGTCACGGCAAGACCCCACCAGACCTGCTGTCCTTACACATGTTTGCTGCCTTGTCTGTGGTCACTTGCTTTGTTTTTTGTGCGTCTATATGACAATGTGTCCCTGTTCTGGTTTTACCTCTGTCTTCTGTAATGTAAAGTGATTTTATATTATCATGTTTTAACTGCCACTAATCGTCTTCTCAACATTTGAGTTTATGCCTGATTGATTTATGTCCCATTTATGTTCTTTTTTTAAATTATTTTTTGGGGGCTTTTATTGCCTTTATGATAGTGACAGCCGAAGAGAGACAGGAAAGGGGGGCAGAGAGAGAGAGGGGATGACAAGCAGCAAGGGGCCGCAGGTCGGATTCGAACCCTGGGCCGCTGCAGCAAGGACTTAGCCTCGGTACATGGGTCGCCAGCTCTACCGACCGAGCTATCCGGGGGCCCATGTCCCACTTTTTTGTTTCAATGGCTAATTTAACCTGGCCATGGGACAACGGTTAGAAATTTGCCTTTTGGCTAACACTGGCACATTTTTTATGGACATGTTCATTTCAGTTAATTCACATTTTTAAGGCAGCAGTGGAAAGTTTTCCAGTGTATATGTTGAGTAATGTCTCCTAAAAACAAACCAGTTGAAGAGAGTCTGAGTCACTGGACTAATCTCACTTTACCTTTTCTACTGTAGGTGAAGAAGAGAATATCACTGGTGTCTTTAAAGACAGTGTCCTGCTGCCATGCAACTGCTCAGGGAGAACTTTGGACGAGTTTAAGTGGCAGAAGGACGATCCAGATGCGAAGGTTGTGCTTAAATCTTCAAACTTATCTGACGAGGACAAGGCCCAAATATTTCTGTCTGAGAACGGCAATAATTGCTCTCTTCTCCTCACCAACATCACCACGGCTGACCAGGGGAAATACAGATGTGTCTTTTACACAGGCAAAGGGCTATACAATAAAATATTTGTAAATCTAAGCGTCGTAGGTGAGTCATTCATTCATTATGCATACCTACAGTATTTGATCACTCATTCATTTACCCATGAATTTATGGTAAAAATAGCGAATAGTTGCAAAAAAATGTTTATCTCTCACCAGCGACCTACACGGTCTGTCAAACGGAAGATTTCCAGTGTCATGTATCGGGAAAGTACCCAAAGGCTGAGATTCAATGGAAACTGGACGGACAGCTTCTCACAAATTCATCCACAATCCACATAAGCACCACAGACACCTGGGAGCCTTCTACTGGCCTCTACCATTTCACCAGCAAACTCGATACTAAACTCAACAGGACCTTAAAACCTAAATGTGAGGTCAAGGCCAAAGACATACCGACTCGCTTGAGTTATGACTGCCCAATGAGTGGTAACTATTTGTTTTTATTTATTTCAGAGAGGATGGGATTTACATATTAGCAACCGTCCTAAAACAATATTGTAAAATATTATTTAGGATGTTATCATCATATTATTTGCATTTGTCTTCATTTTCAGCAGAAGTCATTAAAGGAGATCATCACCCGAAACCGAGAAATCGGTACTTAAAATTTTTTCCTATCTTGTTGGTGCTTGGATTTTCCCTCGTCATGTGGCACCGTTCTCACAGTAAGTTGTAAAGCTGTTTGTTGTAATGCCAGAGGTCATTATCAAAACTAGTTTGACACACTGTACTTGAGCTGGTTAAGTCAGAGTTGCACAACACTTGTTGAATCAAGCCACAACCAGTTTAACTCTTTTGTGTTTGCTTTTTTTATTGCTCCTGCATCTCTCAATGGAATTTGTTTTTCCTTCTCTTATGTCTTTGATGCAGGATTTCACCAACGATAAGGAAAGTGGGGATTGACAACTCTTAGTGCTACACATACAAGACGAACTGTGAATATTTGAAAGCACTTTCCCCCAAATGGTGGTTATGACTGTGGCATCATGTCAACCGAGACTGATAACAGGCAGGTTACATCTTGTGTTTATCCCACTGAAGAAATTGCTTGTTCTGGTGTTTGTTTTTTCTTTCAAATTCAAGCAAAAAGAGATTACCCAATATGAGAGTTGATGTAATCAGTAAGAAACACAGCACATAAAAACATCCAGCAATCTATCATGATCATTGCTGGATGTTTTTATGTTTAATAATCAAGTTCACTGTATATATTTTTTGTGTTTATATATATATTTTTATATACTACAACATGAACTTCATTATACAACCCTGTGCTGTAAAATGACCCTGTATCCTTCCACCTTGTATTATGGATTCTGTAACTGTTAAACGGGATGTGATCACTCTAATCTAATATAATATAATCCCATGAGAATAAGATCTACTTTTTAATTTCTTCAAGTTACTGAATCAATTTGAGCCATTTAATGATTTAATGTACCTTGGTATAATTGTATATATGATATACATATATATATATACTGTAACTGTTAAATGTGAAATATACTACAGAGATATTTACTCTTTTTATGACACTTTGAAACAGCTGTGAAAAATATGAATTCTGGGTTGATATTAAACAATTTTATAACCCGTTATTACTGACTATTTTATCATTAAGGTGATATTTATATAGCACAATACCGATATGCATTGTTAATTTGGATGTAACTGAGATATTAAAGGTCCAGTGTGTAACATTTAGGAGGATCTGTTGGTAGAAATTTAATATAATATTCACAGGTATGTTTTCATTAGTGTATAATCACCTGAATATAAGAATCAAGTAATCAGTAACTGCCTTTGTGGTAAACTGGTTACATTGAATGTTGTTGCTTTGTTTCACATAAATAAACAGGGTAAGGTCATTGTATGTAATATATAGCACACCAAGTTTCAGAGGGAACCCTTTGATTCAAGAGATATGACACCAAAAAGTAATGCCTGTATATCATCCTGATCAAATACAGGCTGTATATCATCCTGATCAAACAAAGTTTTTGGATGTTGTTGAACCAGGGGAACTGGGAAACACACTGCTGGTCCAGAAGGCCAGCCCACCACTGGTCCCTGTATGCTGTGTTCAGTAGCTGCCGGTAGCACACCAAATCTGAGGCGAGCTGGAAGAAAAGATATTGCAATCGTATGTAACAGTGTGAATAAGTGGACTGTTTCAAGGTCAAAAAAGGGTTCAAATGAAACAATGCAGTGGTAATGGAAATTAAATGGAACACCCTTTATCTCGCCCAATTAAAGACCACGGGTCATTTTGTACCATTGTCTTTGTTGTTGTTTTGTATATTGTCATCATTGTTACCATGTGCTTTCTTTCTGTGAAATGTTTGATGTGTGCTGAATAAACGATGTAAAAGCTTATTGTATTGTATTGTATTGTTATTCTACCATCATTAATCAGATCCTTTCCTCCAACAGGTTGAGACTTGGAGCGTTAGCAGTGTACAAATTCAGACATATTCGTCTAACTGGAGGAAAGGTGGAACCTTTCAACACTAATGTGTGTGAGATGACAGAAGCGATTAATAAAAATGAACAGCATAGTCATTTGTTTATTTTGGCTGTCTACATTATTAACCAGAAATCAGCTCAGACATTTCACTGTGCATTTCCATAACTAATACAATTCAGCAGAAATAAGCAGGGCAGTAAGTCTCATTTCCCTTTGAAATATTTCACTTCCCTTTTTACCTTTATTAAACCAACGATAAAGACGTCTTTCAGCAGATAATCCATGTTCATATAAAACAAACAAGTATGAAAACTATTAAACAGTAATAGCAGTAAAAATATAAATCCAAGGAACAACAATTTAATTAGTTCATTATAACGAATTGTACATTTTTGTTTGGTTTACGTCGGCTAACCTCAGTCATGTGTGCCGTCATACGTGACGTCCACCAGCTCCGTGGACGACGTCACTGCGTGTGACGTGGTGCACACCCGGAAGTGACACAGGCGGCTAACTCAGCTAGCTCAGGGCTAGCCAGTTAAAATGAACCTACAGCGGGAAAAGTGTTTGGTGAATTTCCCCAGCCTGGAACAACACTGACATTTTGTCCACGGTAAGACGGTTGGGACTCGGAGAACCACCCGGGTTAATGTCAGCGGGTGAATATGAAGAACGTTTGTTAGCTTGCTGCTAACGTGTAGTGACAGAGATGAGGCATACAGCACGTTAACGTAGCTGCAGTAGATACATACAGCTGGATAATAGCTTACATTGTATTATATAACTAACGTGGTGAGTGGTGAGTGGTCTTGACTCTCCCACCATAGTTAAACACACATACACGTTAAAGGACCACATGTGATGGTAATAGTCAGTGAGATGAGACTGCACTGTGACAGTACCAGAGGGGTTTATTGTGTTTATTGGGGAGATAAACTCTACATCTCTAAATGGGCTGATCACCCTCACTTATACTATCAGAGGTGTACATGTTGGTCAACATAAAAAAGGAAAGAAAATGTTTACTGAAAAGTGCTTAAGGTCATTTAGAAACTGCTCTGGATCTTTGTTTACAATAATATCTGAGTATCACATCTCAGTACTTAGTCACTGCTGGAGGATATATTTATAGCCACAATATCAAATATTGTCTTGTATGCTGTTGCAAAATACAGCTATTATTTATTTATTATTTATGTTTTGGACTCATTCTAGTAAAATGATTGTTGGTGTAATTAGTACTGAAATGATAAATCAGTTAGGACAGAACAGAAAGTTCATCACCGATTCCTTAACTGTTTTGAAACTGATGTCACCCTCGGCTTTGAGAAAACTTCATGAGCTGAGATTAACTTTTTTTTCTCAGAAAACACGTAATCTTAGTCAATGAAAAAAGGTTAAATTACACATTTAAGAATTTGGAAACGAGGATTGTTTGGGCATTTATTTGAAATGAATCGATTGTCAAAATTGTTGGTGATTCATTTAGTTGTTTCTGCACTATTTATAATTATACATTATAATTATTTAAACTTATTATTATTATTATTACATTAAAATATTTCTGTCATCAACTCATTTTCTTTCTATTAACAAATCAATGAACTAACTAATTGTTTCAGCACTGGTGAGGTGCACAGCCACAGAAGGAATCTACAATGGGCCAACGAAGGAGAGCGTCAGCTGTGAATAACTCTTCATCTCAGAGAGTCTCTGGAGCTCCTGCAGAGGTTGCCAGAGTCCCCAGCAGGAAGCACAACATCTGCATGGTGTCTGACTTCTTCTATCCAAACATGGGAGGAGTGGAAAGTCACATTTACCAGCTATCCCAGTGTTTGATTGAAAAGGGACACAAGGTGGTAATTGCCACCCATGCCTATGGCAGGAGGAAGGGTGTCAGGTATCTGACCAATGGACTGAAGGTCTACTACCTCCCACTGCAGGTGATGTACAACCAGTCCACAGCCACCACCTGCTTCCACAGTCTCCCACTGCTGCGCTGTGTGTTTGTAAGGGAACGCATCACTCTGGTGCACGCACACAGCTCATTCTCTGCCATGGCCCATGATGCACTGTTCCACGCTAAGACCATGGGTCTTAACACGGTATTTATTTATTATGATCCAGATCTCATAAACCACACAGTGTGTTTATATCACTTTACATAATCTGCTTACACAAACCTAAAGAGTGTTATCATTTACAGGTGTTCACTGACCACTCGCTCTTCGGCTTTGCTGATGTGAGCTCTGTGCTGACCAACAAGCTTCTGACTGTGTCACTGTGTGATACCAACCACATTGTGTGTGTGTCATACACCAGTAAGGAGAACACGGTGCTCCGTGCGACACTCAACCCGGAGATAGTGTCTGTTATTCCCAACGCTGTTGACCCTACAGACTTCACCCCCGACCCCTCCCAGCGCCAAGACGGCAGGATCACGATTGTTGTGATCAGTCGCCTTGTCTACCGCAAAGGTACGCAGAAGTTGTTGTGTTAGACATCACATTTGTTCATATTTCTGCGGGTCAATGTCACGTTAGGCTGTAATTGTAGCAGAATGGGACACTGCCCTTTTGTGGAGGACCAAAGTTCAAGCCTTCATGTTTGCACAAGTGATTCACACTTAAATATCTCTTGCAGCTCTAGGGATTGTGTTAAAGTGGGTCAACATTATGATGAAATTTGATATACAGACATGTCAGCTTGCTTTTGTGTGTGTGTGTGTGTGTGTATCAGCTGAAATAAACATCAGATTTTACAACACTAAAATATCAGTGTTGGTATCAGCCAAACAATATTCAGTTCATTAATTGAGTACTGCATCAGCGTTGTTGTCAAAGCAAGTGCTCACAATCTCTTTCCTCTGTTAAGGAATTGATCTTCTTGGTGGGATAATCCCAGAGCTTTGCCTCAAACATCCAGATCTACATTTCCTAATTGGTGGAGAGGGACCGAAGAGAATTGTGCTGGAGGAAGTGAGAGAGAAATACCAACTGCATGACAGGTAACAGCCGGATGCTCGTATATCCTGAGAATATTTGTCAGGATTCAGGGTCGCTCTGTTAAAACATTCATTAATATTGCTGGAGCCACATTTCAGGAACTGAAAGTTGACAGCGCAGTTTAGCATTTATTGTAGATTGTCTGGAAATGATGGAGGTTAAGCAGCGTGCAGCGTGTATGCAAATACAGCGTGGTGCTGCATTATCTGTGATTTGTCCAGGAAGTGACAGCAGTCTGTCATGGAGAGTCAAACACAGGGTGTTGTGTGTGTGTAAGTTTTACATGTGCCTTACGTTTTTGATTGGGTCACTGCAGGGTGCGTCTACTGGGGGCTTTGGAGCATAAAGATGTACGTGGAGTTCTGGTGCAGGGTCACATCTTCCTCAACACATCTCTGACAGAAGCATTTTGTATGGCCATTTTGGAAGGAGCCAGCTGTGGTCTGCAGGTTTGTTGCCTTCCATACAACAGTTTAAGGCTGGGAGAGATTATGTGCCACGTAGGCCACATAGAGAGAGAGGTGTAAATTGATCATTGATAGTCCCTCGTGTATTGTCAGATTGAAGTGGGCCAAACAAAGCGCAGTTTCATATATCTTAAGAAACAAATGTTAAAGCTGCATTTTCTGTAGAGAGGACACGCTGCCTCTCTGTTCCTCATTCCTTGCCTCTCTTCCTCTCTGCTCCTGGCTGTTCCAGTCTCACTTTCTCAAAATGTACATACAGTTATTGTTTTGTCCAAAACATTTAGCCAGATTTATGTCGCAACACAAAGTAAACCACTGATTTCTACAATTTATCAAATATATAAAATATATTTATGTAATTGAAATTACCTTTATTATTTATGGCTATGCCACAAAACAAACATTTCCTAATCTCAGTTTTATAAAAAGCTCTATTGAATTGGCTTGACACAGCTGAAGCTCGTCACAGATTTCCTGTAGGTGTGTGTTCGTAGGTGGCTGCTCAACTCCATCTCATAGCAGTGCTTAAAAAAAACTTATAATGGGATAAAAGATGGGAAAGGCAATTTCAGTTGAAACTGTTAACAATGACAATTGTCAGCCGCATCCTCGAGACAGTCACATGTGACAGAGGAAGTTGGGTTTGGAGTATCTCAGGAGGAAGAGAAAACTGCGTCATCAGGATGTCATAACAGACTAATGTAATAACGTACTTATTGCTCAATGCCTTGCCCAAGCCACTAAACTAAACATCATACCTATTTAAATGTTGAAGTTACTTACACATTGGGCAGACAAAAATGATTGGAAATAGTTTGTTACAAGGCAGCCTCCTTGTTTATTCCAAACATTGGGGGGTAAGAAAGGGTCTACTTTCTGATGAGTTTGGCTTCCTTCTTGGGTCAACAAAGGGGCCATTTTCTGGATTTGATTTCCCAACTCTTTACAACAGAGGTGGTAGTTAACAACCCCTTTAAAACATGCACTTCTTTATGATAATGTGATGGCAACTTAGCACGTCTCATGTCAGAAATAAGCAACCTGGCCACTTTTACATTAAAGTCAGGACAGCAATCCTACTGGGTCGGACCTAATAGCATTTTCTTACCATTTTCAACACGGCACATGTCTGAATTAAACACTGTCAGAATAATATTAAGGCTGCAGCATCACAAGAAGGTAAAACATGCAGGGAGACAGAAATGTACATCTTGTACTGTTATCTATTACTGTAATACATTTTCACCTGTGTGTGACCAGTAGGAAAAAAAAGGTATAAAAAAACTTACAGTACAACATACAACTACAGTAATAATCTGAACAACATGCCTTCTATATTTTTAATTTTAATGAATATCCAGCAAAACAATTTTAAAGAACCAGTGTCAGTCATTGTGTAGGATTTAATGCCATCTAGTGGTGTAGCTGTAATCTGCAACTAACTCTCCCCTTCCAAGCATAAAGGAGAACCTATGGTAGCCACGAAACATGCGAAAAAAGCGAACGCCCTAATCTAGAGTCAGTGTTTGATTTTTCCTTCTGGGCTACTGTAGAAACATGGGGGTTCAACATGCCCGCCTCCACAGAAGTGTTGGTAGATATAAATGGCTCATTCCTTCACATAAGCACACAGCTCGTTCCCTAAATGTCACATCTTAATGAAGCCATAAGGCACATTAATGTAGGAGTCACAATGTCTCAGTGATAAAAAGCCATCACAGGCTGATTAAGTCAGCAATGTTTGAATCACTATGTCTGAACAGCTTAAGAAATTAGACATTTTCTTTAACAATTTGAAGCAATGTATTGAGACACCAACGACAACATGCGATTCTTGTTTTTGTTGACCTGCAGCGTACTCTGGGTGTGGTCAGTACACCTTGACATCACTGCAACAGAGCAAACTTATGTCTGACCCCACCCAACAGTGATGCAGGGTGGTCGGAGGTCAAACAGAAACATTTACCCACAAAAGTTCAGGAAAGTTATGTTTTTCAGCTGTTAATTTACTCTTTATTTATGGCCAAGCATTACTATTTGCTTTTTATGTGGTAGGAAAAGCACTTTCTAATCTTAAAAGTGATGCTAGAACCGATGCTGTTTTACTCTTACATTGTGGATAATGTATTCGTGTGTGTTTGTTGTGTTCAGTGTTTGCATCCAGCTTTTGTTTTATTTCTCAGGTGGTTAGCACTCGCGTGGGGGGCATTCCTGAAGTGTTACCTGAGGACCTGATTACCCTGTGTGAGCCCACTGTGCGGTCGCTGTGTGCCGGTCTGGAGACAGTCATCGCCCGGCAGCGCTCAGGGTCTGTCGCCTCCCCCGCCTCTATCCATGCTTGTGTGCAAAACCTCTACACCTGGAGAAACGTTGCAGAGAGGACAGAAAAGGTAGGTCCACCAACACCAAAACTGACTGTTTTGTTCAATTGTATTCTGCTGAATGTATTTAAGATGTACTTTATTCTTTCACAGAACAAAGCTTGCTACAGATTTAGTTTGTTTTTGGATGTAAACTTAAATGCTGTTAAATTGTGGATGGTTATTGAGAGGGTGTTCTGTGCTTTGCAGTTTGTTTACCTGTGCTTAATAAACCGGTTTACAGCCATCTTAAATCTTTTTCTTAAATGTCATGTAAGTGAAAGAACTGATTTCTGTAGTCTGGGTAGGCAGTTAGAGAAACCTGATTTACAGAGTTTTTAGCCTAATGTATAATGTTAACAGTCTGGTGTAGGTGGAGGGAGTCCCAGGATAACTAGTTAGCTTAGAGAGCAGACAGACAACAACTGAATGGCGATACCCACACTGATACATGAGTATAGTTCACTCAGGTGGTCGGTCAGAGCATTAGCTGTGAACAAAGCGCTCAGCTCAAGTCCATCACATCGAAACAGAGGGAGGCACCACCTCGTGGCACTATTCAGCATTAAAGTACAACCCCATTATTTAGCTCTGACTGTCACAATAATGACATAACAAGCAAACAATCCTGGTATGGATCCTTTAGATTTCTTTCTTTTTAAAGAATTGTGACCAAGACACATACTGAGCAGGACATTAGTGTAACATCAATGTATCAGCACTCTCTGGTGGACATACTATGTAATGTTTGTAAATTACCCCAGAACTAGTTTGGCACTTCTGTACTGCATTTTCTTACTAACTCTTCTACTCCTACTCTCTTACTCTTAATTACTCATCGGCCGACATAAACCTTGAGACCAATATATCCATGATAAACTAATATTGGCTGATATATCAGATTCTTCTTTTCTAAGTTATGAAGTTTAGTTTTGTAAAATGTATCTCAAACACAGAATTATACATCAGGCAGGAGCATCTTGTATCACCAATGCAGTTATAATAAGAAAGCCATGCTTGGGCGCCCGGTTAGCCCAGTCGGTAGAGCTGGC